TTATAGTACAATAATACACACCTCACCCTACTCACCTGTCATTATAGTACAATAATACACACCTCACCCTACTCACCTGTCATTATAGTACAATAATACACACCTCACCCTACTCACCTGTCATTATAGTACAATAATACACACCTCACCCTACTCACCTGTCAGTGCCAGTGTTTCAGACTGAAGGAGCTCGGTGTCCAGGTCTTTGAGCAGGTGAGGGGCCGCACAAGAAGAATCTCCTGAGTGGTCAGTGGCTTTGTTTGAAGAGTGGTCAGATAACAATGTGCTTGCATTGCTGTTTTCGTCTGAACATGTTTTTGATTCTATGCTTGGATCGTCTAATAAATAAAAGATGTGTAATACACAAGTTAGAGAAGAGGATTCTACTGTTCACAAATCAACTGTAGGTGGTGCAGGAAACAGGAAATTCAGAATGATGCACATTACATGGAGCACTAAAAAATGTTAGACATTCAGCCATTTCTACAGCTGGATGTTCAGCTTGAACCTTCAGATTTTCCTTAGTCTGAACCATAATCTTTAACCAGATATCCATTATCTAGTAGAGCAAGGGCAACATCATGCACATAAAAAACACAACAAACAAACCTTCACCATTCTTTTTAATTTCCATTTCTTCAGTGCCCTGATTGGCTGGCACTAACACTTCCTCCATCTCCGCAGGAACATGCTCCTGTTGATCATCGGCAGTGGGAGTTGGCTTAGATCTTGTGTCTTCTGGAGAAGTTTTATTGGGAAGCTTTTCAGGGGGCTGGTCAGGACCCTCATGACTGAGGCATCCAGTAGGCTTGATCTTTGCTCTGCCACCTTTTCCTTTCCTCTTCTTCCTACAGTGATGAAGGTAGACAGACTTTTTAGTGGAATTCAACTGTATTCCACCTGGGATTTGTTTAAGCCTTTCATTTGATGAGTTATCCATTTATTCTCATTCATTAGTAGCAGATAAGTTTCCTACCTGTGTGCTCGGAACTCCGCCACCTTCACGTCTTTTTCCAGGAGGGCATCTTTATCCCTGAGAATTTTAGCTTGCCCCTTCACTTTCAGAGCTGGGGCTGGCTGTGGACCTGTTTGAGGAGCAGGCTGTGACGATGCGTTTGTTTTGACAAGAGCTTCAAAACCAGGTTGGTGGGAAGAGGTTGTGTTTAGCTCAGTTTGAAGATCATGTTGGGATGGTAAGCCTGTAGTCAGACTAGTTTCTGAACCAGGCTGGGGAAACAAGGTGTTGTTTGGCGCAGTTGGAGTACTGGGATTCAAAAGTGGCTTTTCTGGGTTTGCCGGTTCTTCGTGCTGTGCAGCTCTGTCCATTTGAGCTGCAGAACTGTCTTGATTTGTTGGATCTGTGTTGTGTTGTTCTGTACCTGACTGCATGAGAGATCCACGGCACTCTCCTGATGTGCCTTCAGCATCCCTTGCCCTACTGTGAGCATCATCTGTAAGCACCTGAACATCCTCTATAGCACAGCTGGAATTTGACAGCTTGTCCTGGTCATTATTATGCTCCCCTACAGGATCCACATCAGGGCCTGTCTTGTCCCTCAGATTTTCACTAGTTTCTGTCTCATTCCTTCGTTGGTATCCACATAATGCCTCGGAGCTCCCAGACCCTTCCTTCTCCCTCCCAACTCCAGGTTTCCTCTCCTGTGTAAAGCCCACTAAAGGTAGCTCAGCTCCGCTTGGACCGAGTACATCCCGTCCAGGTCGATCAATCTCATTTAAGGATTGAAGGAGCGAGGGATCAGGGTTCCTGTCTCTTGGCAGATCAATCACTTGAGGAGCAGGGCGTGATGTCATATCATCTCCAGCCGCAACTACCTCTCTACCTCGACTGGTACTCTTAGGATTCTCCTTATGTGTGGTGTTGCCAGAGGGCCTTGTGGCACCCATGGTGTCATGCTTGCCATGGTCCCAGCCCTTTCCCCGCCGCAGCCTGACAGCCCGACTCCTCCGGCATAGTGGCAGGGTCTTGGTTTTGCCTGCCCCTTGCATTTCCAGGTACCGCTTAGGATCTGCCCCACCATCTGGTCCTCCCCGCATCTCCAGCAGCTCCACATACTCGCCCCCAGGATCTACTGCATCGCCATCTGGAGGCAGCTGTTCCTCTTCCTCCTCCTCATCCCAGGACAAGGACTCCAGGTCACAGGAGGAGCCCCAGTCATGGCTAGTAGAGTCATCAGACTTGCCACTTTCGTGGTAGAGGAATTTGGGATAGACCACATCTTCCCATGGGAGTCGGATAACTCCGTCACAGGTGCTGACCAGACAGGTGTCCAGCTTTCCAGCCCCTTAAGGGAGATACAACCATGGAAAGAGAGGCAAGAGTACTAATATTAAAAAAGAGCTGGTAGCTGTTGGCTAACAGTATTCAGTGCATTATATAGTCAGTACCAAGTATTAAGTAATTACATTTTAAATGACCACAATCATCTGTGCAATTTCGATTTTTACGATGCTATTGTCCAAAAGTACTTATTAGTCAAAGCATATGAGTGCAATAAACAAATAATACAACGAGATTAATCTACATAAACTACAGGCTATTGCTTATTAACTAATCCAATGTCCCCATAATTACCACCTTATACCTTCCTTGCCCATAGATATCCGTCCCAGTTGCATTCCAAAGACTACCTCTCACCTCTCACACAGCCCCGCTCCTTGTTGATGCTCTGCAACCACTCAGGGGTGAAAACCAGGGCATGCTGGGACTCGGGCACGAGGACCTCCTGCACATTACGCCCCCCTGGGGCCAGGCACTTGAGAGCCAGGCGAGGGCATCGTGTGGAGAAGGGCACCACCTGCAGGTAGAAATCGTTGCTGCGCAGCAGCCTCCAGTCCAAGGTGGAGAGCTGCACTACCACCTTCTCGCCAAGGCTGAGAGGCCAGCCAGAGTGCAGAAAGAGACAGCCCAGGTACTGAGCCTGATTAGGGAAAGAGACGTAGACATTCAGAACCTGGCCCGGCTCCCATTCTCTCTACTCACTGCCAAAACATTCCAGTGACCCAGTTACTTGGTCCCGGTCCTCTCTTCTCACAAAAGTCTTCAAAAAGTCTACTGTCTATGTCATTATTACTACTATTATGTTAATAAAAATGAAGTATTATTTTTAATAGAATGTCTGAGTATAGACTCTGCCTGCTTGTCTAGCTTTTAGTCTCCCCCCCCACACTCAATGCTCAGCACTGTTTTCCACCTTCCTCTCCCTCCCCCAGTCAATGAATGTTCAATAGTGTCCAGTGTCTACCACACTTACCACACCTCCCCCCAAACCCCACCCCTCCCCCCTTTCTCCTGGCCTTTGGGTCTCACATATGGAAAGAGTTATGCTGATGACTCATGCTGCTTCTGCAGTCCCAGGCAGACTCGACGGACGACCCACTGAGTGTGCATGGCTGTGTGCGACTGCAAGTGTGCGCAAATGTGCGCCTGTGTGTTGTGACAGTCTTCGAGTATATGTGCATGTGCATGTTTGTGTGTATACGTGTGCACGCGTACCTGTGTGTAAGTACTGGCGTGCTCGTGTGTGCCTAGCAGTCTGTATATGCATAGACACGCTACTCATATTTGTAGACATGCTGACAGGGTTTGAGTACTCACACATGCATGTTGCTGTAGCTTATGCAGTAGGTGCTTAGCTGGGATGAAGTAATCCAGGAGGTATCGCAAACTGTCATGCTGGTAGGTTGACTCCAGCACAGAGAACACCTACACATACCGACGCACATTGTTAAATTTAGACCAAGTTACAAACACACAGACGTATATATGCAGACACACCAACATTATCTTGCACATGCAGAGTCACACTGAGATGAACAACACAACTGGACTGCTAGCCGTGTCAAACACTGAACCGGCAGGGTGAGACAGCATCGTGCATTTGCCTGCTGTAATTGTGCAGCAATTCATATGCTGGATGAGTAAATTCATATGCTGGCGGGGGGTTGAGCACCTGGGATAACAGAGGGGGGGCAGTGCTTTCAAATGGGGGGTACAGAGACGACAACGCCCCCTGGACGCAGTCCTCCACTGCCTCAGAGCCCTGGGAGAAATAAGGAGTGTTACAATAGATAAATGGCACACAAGACTCTGTAAACTGGAAGAGTTAATAGAGATATGCAATCTAACTAGATATTGCAGAAGCTAAACAATATTTGATAAGTGGCAAGGCATTTGTATTTAACGAGGCAATATTTCCCTTTCTGTTTTGCATAAAAAAAATAATTCTCTCAATATATAAAAATATAAGTTCTCAACAATACACACACACACACATATATATACAGTATTTAGTTTCCTTTGTTATGGATACCGCTACAGCATTCCATACTGGCAGGAGTGTGTCATCACTGTATAAACACAGTGGTACAGTGATCTGTGAGTGTGTTTCATGGGCCAGCCAGCCAACAAGGCAAAGGGTTAATACCCTTCACATAGAACACACAGTGTTTGTTTTTCTACAGGGCTGTTGTCATAGTAACCTCCAACTCTGTGCTCACACAACCCCTGTACCCCCTTTACTTTCCAGCCCCCTCTCTCTCTCCCGCTCCCCGCCCCCAATATCATCTGACAGTAATTATGGGAAAACTGCTCTCACAAGAAACATATTGTGCGGTTTTCTCAAAGCCCCCAGATTTTACTGGATATTGGGAGAAGGGAGGGATGGACGGGAGGACACTAAAAGGGGCAGAGCTGAGGGGAGAGAAAAGAGAGAAGCGAAACCGGGAGAGGATATGCAAAGGGGGGGAGGGAAAGGAGTGGGAGAGAGGGACTGAAAATGAATGGCAGGCAGGAAAAAGGGAAGTAAGGTTAAAAAAGAAACAAGGCAGGAGAAAAGCAGCAGAGGAAATGCAAAAGCAGATGTATAAAAAAACCTTGAAAAGAGCCAGAGATTATAGAAACTCAAGGACTGAAACACATGCAAACTGGATTAGCTAAGCTCAGCTGCCCGTGCGCAGCCTCTGTGCCTGTATCTGCTGATCCTATTGTTGTCTGCATAGCTCCTGTTTCTATCTGCTCATTCCCTTTATATAATGACAATGTACAAGCACATAGGAATGCTTTGGTTTTTGCATATCTTGTCTTGCTCTCCTATGAGCCGCACGCATACAGGCAAGAGGGAAGCCTGGGGTCAGACATTACCAGCCCGGGAGCAGTTATAGGGGTTAAAGGCTTTGCTCAAGGGCCACCCCGTGATGTGATTACTCTGCTGACCACTGGTTTAGAACCAGAAGCCTTTGGAACACCTTCTGGACACAGACACGCAACTCTAACCAACAGAGTCGCAATCCTTTCTGGTGAGAGTCCAGATTGCATAGCTCCTGCTTATATCAGCACTTCCCCAGTCTTTGTCTCTATAGTTCATGAGACATCTGCACGGCTATCAATGAAAAAACATCAGACAAAGACATCCTATATAAATGATACAGTGAGTTTTCCAGTAACTTTCCATAATCACTGCATACATAATTACATAATTTATTTTTCAAAGGAAAGATTTTACCCGTTTCCCGATACTTCCCCTGATCATTAGTCCTAGTGTGATATTATGTTGGGTAGGTATTTGGGTTAATACTAGGAAGTAGGAGTGAAGGAACTAGGAACAAATAGGCTACAATGGAAAATTCAAGGAGCAACTAGTATTGGGGTGAATGCCAAAGTTAATCCAAAGGATTCATTAGTGATGCTTTACTTAAAGCAGTCATATAAGTTTTATAATAGTCATAACGCATTATAGCCATGTTCATTATGTATTATGAATGCTCTAAACTATAATGCATTATAACATTATGTATTATGAATGCTCTACGAAGCTCTTATCCATAACACGCTATAAATACCTTCATACTCATATTCTTCAGCATATTGCATTATGAAGGTATTTATAGTGCATTATAGCTGAGAGCATTCATAATGCATAGTAAACAGGACTACCACATTTGGTTTAACAGAATATGAAGCATTCAACTAATTCAACAAACAATTCAGAAAAAGGCTAATTAAATAAGACCTCAGGTAGAACAGAAACCAGCACACACACAACACGCAGTGAGGGTAAGTTGGTTAAAAACTGTTAATGTTTCGTAAAGAATGAGGAGCATAAGCACAATAGACAACATTATAAACAGCACATGACAAAAACAGGAGTCTTTCCTAGGGTTGCACTTCATATGCAGACCGGGACTGTTTAAGACATGCTATCTTTCCCGTGACCTTTAAGCTGAAATGTTTAAGAGCAATCTGTACATCCATTCAAATATGCAAATTTACACCCTAAATGTAACTAAATGCTAAAACTGCAATAAGTAATGTAGCATTACAAAGTAACGTAAGTTATATTTGTAACGAACATCTTTCCTCAGACAAGCCATTGAAATATCTACCCACTTGTGGAGCCTCAAACCCATTAAAGAAGCACAGGGCACAAGACAAGGGAACACCCTGGGTGGAATGCCAGTTCATCGCAGGACACACACACACTCACAATCGGCAAAATATGAATGCCAGCTGAGCTATCCAAGAATTTCTGCAATATAGTAGGAATCTGGTGGGGAAATACAGGGATGACACAGAACCCCACAAGCACACATACGGGTAGTGATGTCATGAGAACCAATATGTCGGTACCAAAATTCTGAAAACGTGACAGTCCTTTCTGTTTCTTTTTTTTGTACAGTACCACAGGTACTTTTTCACTTCTTTCCATTTATGGCTTAGTGTCCAGTTTTTAGAAGGCTATTCTGCTTGAAATAGTCATTTATTTTTATTATATACTTGAAGGCTGCATGCCACTGCTGTTGTTTTTTGTAATGTTGGTACATGACGTGGTACCAGAGGACCTGGGATGCAAACTGGTTCTAACAGATGAGAAACAGGAGTCTAGCCTCCAGCACATTGAGGGTGTTGAAGTACATCTGTGATACTGACAGAAAACCTAAAATGATTTTTGTAACACTTTCTATGAACGCCATGTCTATGAGAATCTATGAATACATCAATCACGACACATTTTAGTGCATTCATAAAGCATTATACATATTATGGCTATAAATATTTATAAAAAGGCATAGCACATTATAGCCATGTTTATATGCATTATGATTGCTTTATGAAGCTCTATAATACACTACAGATAACTTCATAATGCAGTACAAAGCATAATTAATGCTTATCTTGATCATTATAATGCATTATGATGGTTTCTATAGTGCATTACAGATGAGAGCTTCAATTAAGTTTATGAAGCATTATAAATTTAATCAACACTATAATGCCTTATCACTGTCAGTAGAAGATGCCATAATGCTTTATTAATTCTTATACTGAGCATTATAATATATTATGATGGTATTTTTAGTGCATTATACTGTAGATGAGAGCTTCATTGGAGTTGGTGAAGCCTTATAAATTTCAACACTATAATCCCTTATCGCTGTTAGTAGAAGATGCTGTAATATTTTATTAATTCTTATACTGAGCATTATAATGCATTATGAAGGTATCTATAATGCATTACTGCTGACAGCTTTAGGTAAAGCTTACCAACCTTTACCAACCTTTCTTATGGAACGGACAATGGAAGACTGTCCTCCAGCAACAACCAAATGCATTTACAGTCTTTTGAACTGGTACATCAAGACATTTCTAGATCAGGGCAGATGTCACAGTTTTTGTGTTTCTGGAGGACATAACATATGAAAGAGGTTGGGATGCTACTTTTTCTACTGTTTCTTAAACATTGTAAGACTCTTTAGTAAATTCATCGTATTTACTGTAACATTAGTGTAAAATGACAATGATCATATACACCATATCTTCGAATCCAACATAACTCTGAATGACACATTATTTGAAGGCTTTCAACATACTACAAATACATGCCATTAGTATCTGATGCTGTGAGTGACACTGCTTTCAAGTTTATGACATCACATGCTAAAAATAAAAGGCCAAAGGTTCTCTCCAAGGTGTTTGGTTCTCTTTCCGGTATAATACTATGATTACAGGATATATTTCTGTCCAAAAGTGTTTGCGTCTAAATGACGCAAACGCTACATTGTTATAGCGGCACTGACTCGGCAGCATACGGAGAAGTGTCACTCTTCCTCCAGACTTCCTGCCTTTTTTCTCCTAGCTAGGAGGGAGAAGAGGGAAGAAGACAATTTCCACCCAGAGAGTACGTGTGACAATGTGGGAGAAGATAAAGCAGGCAAGAGAGAATGGAAGATGGGAGCGTGAACTACTGTAAATGGTGGGAAAGAAATGTGAAAAACGCTGACAGAAACCAGATGTGATTTAATGCAAACACGGCGAGTGCTTTTGAGTAGAGGGTCTGCTCACTTCAGCAATGCTCACAGCGAAACACAACTTATGCAACATTCACATCAAGTACAGTATGTTTAGCACAAACAAACAGGCATAGCATCAGTTCATCCATCATTACTGTTCAGTCACTCCAAGGTTTACCATTATCCCCCCCCCCACTACCCATGACAACCCATCATCCATTCCCAGGACACAGTACTGCTTCCTCATTTCTTTTCTTTTGGGCTGTGAGACACTCTGAGGCAAGACTGATTTTCCCACCAAACATAATTCCATAAAGGATGCATGGTGGGGGGGGGGGGTTGTTTTTCAGTACTATAACCACACCAGCTGCTGAAGATGAACAGCACATGGACGTCGCTGCTTAAACAGAGAGGGGAAGAGTTTCAGCCTGAAGCACACAACCATATGCGTGTTTATCGGTGCGAGCACACGTGTGTGTGTGTGCACGTGTGTGTGCATGCACGTGTGTCCTTCTAAGTCTTACTCGCCCTGTGCCCTTCTCCTTTCTGTCTCTTTTGGGTCCAGTGTGGAAAATTCAGCATCATCCAAACCGCCAAAGCTCTACAAGCCTCCCAGAATAAAACTGGCTTTTCCCTCCCCCGGTCTTGCTCCTGTTCCCACTACAAGCTGCTGCCAAACAGCTCCACCCTGTCCTGCAGTCCAAACAACAGCGAAGGGGATCTCCCAGCCCTCGGCTCTCTCATTCTCACTCGGCCACAGCTGCCCTCATTGGACCAATGAAGCTGATGAAGGAGTACCGGGTAAGGGGGAGGGGGCGAATGCAGAAGTATAGGAGGCACAAGAGCATCATTAGTTCTGTGGGTTGGGGGGGCAACAGCTTTCATCGTGTCTAGGTTCACTTGTTACTTAACAAGTAGAGCTAAACCCCTCAGTTGCCCTTCAGAAACTGGCATTGTTATTTTAAGACGCTGGCACATGAATGTACTGGCTGCCCCACATATAGGGTTATAGAGATGACTACAAGACTCGGAGCAGGCCATCTAATGAATAGACTTGCATACAAGTTGCACAATTACCACCACTATAAAGTCGCGTTTCGCTATATAAATATATTCAGATTTAAGTTGCTGCACTTTTCTTTTTTCCCCTGTTTTGTCCATGTGTGGGAACTGCCATCACCGAAAAGGGGGAAGATAAGAGGTTGAATTCAAAGATCCAATTCGTTTTAGTTGTACTAGGCAAGGGGAAAAAGTCTAGTTAAACAATTGTGCATTTTTGTATACACTGTTTACATATAAGACAATTACATGTGCTATTTTAATTACAAACGAATTGTAAGTGAAACAACAAAGCGGTACGCCCGTGGAAGAAAAGCAATCGATATTTAAATTATGAAAAACTTTCCCCGTTTCTTTAAATCTAAACCTTTGTTAGTCAGATTTTGCATCGCATTTGGTGTTTATCTTTCTAGACTTACCATAAGTGGAGCGTCTGCGCTGCCTACATTGTCGTTTGTTCAGCTCCACCGCCAACTCCTCTCTGCCGCATAAAACTTTCTGTAGCTCTTTTTACTTCCGAGCGTTAGCCATCATAGTGGTAAAATATTATTTCCCATATAAGAAAACAATGGTTAAAAAGTCCGTATAAGTTTTTAAGTTTTTTCTCCGTGCTTTCCCAGTGTCCCGGCCTCTCCGTCCTCTTATTTATGTAGTTTGCAAACGTTTAACCAGCGCGGATTATTTCTTTCTCGTCTAATGTCAGTCCTGTACACACACCCCTCCCTTCGTTTTTCCTGACAAGAGCGCTACAGTCGGTTTTAACTGCCGTTATACTAAAATTTTCCTAGTTTTTTTTTTTTTTTTTACTCCAGTGTGGAAATAAATTAATCGACAATGAAAATTTTTACAGGAATTACAACGCTGGATCCGCTGAAGCGTAACACATTGAAATCAGTCCTTGAATTTGTACTTTTTTATAAATTTTGAAATACGTATACGGTAAATGTTGTGGTATTTAGGTACGTTACATGTTATTAAATCCAAATTAATTGACGCTGTTATTATATTCAAACAAAGAATTGCAATCCAACTATCTGGGAAATTCAACTTGTACGTTTTTGTCCCTTACAAAAAGTTATAATTTTAAATTGTATTTTGTGCATGGTACATACATATGATATATGTTCCTATAGTATTCTAGCAGTATTTCATTTCAACCTATGGTACTTTCTGATACTTTCATGGTATTCTGTTATGTCCCATGGTATTTATTTCCAACCTGTATATTTTACTGTGGTATTTAATACTCCTACAATTGCCAAGAAGCACATATAATATAGTTGCCTTACAAAAAAAAGTAGCTGCATATAGTTAACCCTGGACTGCGATCATTTCACTTGCAGGCCTACTGGATTTGGTGATGGAACCTGAGAATTTCACATAAGCAGCTCACAGAAAGCAGTAATTATGGTGTTGCTTTTTATTTTCGCCATCTAAAGTAACAATTTAAAATGTGATCAGTTTTCTTTCTGTTTTTTTGAACAGGTGTTTTTATGAAAATCTTTCCTTCAGCTTTTGCCATGAAACACTTACATAAGTGATTAATTGGTTTTAAGCATATGACTGTTACACTGTTACAGTGGGTTTTTTTCAGTAAGTCAGAACAGATGCATTTCATACATGGCACATTTAATGTAATTTTGAAGTCTAATTTCAGTGCTGCATCATTACAATACTACTGTAAACAATACGTTAAATGCTATAAATTATATTACCATAGTGTGACATATTTAAAACATGTTATTGCCATGGAGCAATCAATATGAAAAGCTTAAGAGACCACCATTGTATTTTAACTGAAGATATGTTGTATACCATAGTATACCATGGTATATACAGTAGGTGGGCAAATTACAATGGTTTAACTATAGTAGCACTACTATGTTATTACTTTGATGATCATACTTTTTTGTACAGGGTACTTGGCTGTTTTATCTGTTATGTGGTTTAATTTTTATATCCTAAGATGAATACTCCTGAAATCAGATTATGTGCTCACTGCAATATTTGCATTCTCTTTTGATAATGTGATGGTTCTGTGCTACTTTTATTTTAAGATTTGTTTATACATATTATATATTTTATCTATATTTTATGTGCACCCTGATATACTGATCTTGTCCAGGATACTTTGTTCCCTGTGTTGCCTGGAACAGGCTCCAGGTTACCCCCCATGATCCATGATAAAATGTTTGTAAGATTGTTGTATGGATGGATGGATGGATGGATAGGTGCAAGATGAAATATATACTGCATGTGCTGTATAATTGGCTGGAGTCCTGGCAAGGACATCCTTACAAAGTCTTAGGCAGTCAAAAGAACTGTTTAAATTATCTCCCTGCTGGTGTAAAGCTACAGTATGATATTCTGTCTGCCAACGTGTATCAATTTAGCCATTTCAAAACTTCTCCTTAAGTCACCCCAGTGTGTGTCCATCTAAGTTTTGACTCAAACACTAGTGTTGTGTCATGTCTTGCCCTGAGGTTTGGGAACTGAAGATATCAGTAACTTTTTGGACAACACAAGAAAGTCTTATTACATTTTATTGTGCTACTGTTATTTTCCATGTTCTAATGTTAAATAGTGTTTTTTGAGCAAATATACACTTACTACCTATTTAAACAACTTAAAACATTTTCTTTGACTGCATAAGACATTTTACTCTGGTTTGTGCCCCATGCTGCATCCCAGTGACCATGTACCGTATAAGTTAACAGTGCTAGTTCTGGGAGTTTAGGGAATATATGTACAGTGGTACCTCAGTTCTTGAACTCATTAGAACTCGAATTTCTTAAAAGTCGAACCAACCAGTTCGAAAAAAAATTACCTAGAACTCGATCTGAATCTCAGAAATCAAACCGTGAACGCTGACCTAACTTATAAGATAACTTGTCCTTGCGGGAAATGAGTCACGTGGCACATCTCTCAGCGAAAACAAAGGGTAAGATGCTTCTGCCAAGCATTGACTTACCATACCTGTGTGATCATTAAAAAAAGAGGTGATGTATATGAAGAGATTTTTTATCCTAAGATCATTCTTAACATATATGTCAAAGGTGACAAATTCACTGGTTCTATTGATTTCTGTATGTATTTTCAAAAAAGGGGAAAAGTAAAATCTAGCAAAGTCTATTATTGTAGCTTTCATTGAATATGAGAAAATCATTTTTTTTGTTGACATGGTGAAGCTCAGTTTTGGCCCTCCACAGAAAGTAATTTCCCAGGCCTGCACTATGGGCAGTTTAGAGCAGGGTTCTGTAATTCCTGTCCTTTAGTTTTCAATTTTCCCTGCTCAAACACACCTTATTCAACTCAGCAGATAATTCACAGGTTTAGTATGTGTGTTTCAACAGGGAAATCTAAAAACTGTGCTGCAGACTGAATCTCCAAGACTGGGGAGCCCTGGTTTAGAGACACCAATTAGCCTAACTGCAGATATTTCAACTGCATGATGAGTAGCCTATGGATTCCCATGTGACACAGGGATAACATGCAAACACAGACACAACACAGTCTGGGTACAAACCCCTAATTCAGTACCACCTACTGAACCACCCTGCCACCTAGCAGATGTGCATACATTAGTATATAATTAATAAATATAATTTAAATTGTAGTTTATTATTTGATTAGATTCCATAGGTGGAGGTAAGAGGGAGGAGCTTTCAGCTGAGATGAAAATAAATGTCACTCACTTAGAGCATAGATGTCACAAGCATTCAAGTAAAAACATTTATTGACATAATCTGGAACAAAGCATCCCAACTTGGGCCAACCATAGCACCAGGTCTTCTGCCAACTCACCCCTGAGACAGTAAGACAGCTCACTTCTGGAAACAGGAAACCTATGGTGGCTGCTGACTGGATGGATGAGGTACACAAAAAGCAGGCCCAGGTGGAGAGTACTAGAAAACCAGGAACAGGACACAGGAAACAGGAAGTTGTGCTTTAACACAAAATCAGCATACTCAAGGAAAATTGTATACAGAACAAGACAACAGTTGCCCAGCACACCAGCTGTGGAACACTGGCTAATAAGGACTATGAACAGAGGAATGAAACACCAGATGAACAGAACCAGGAACTCAAGACAAGACAACAAGCAACAAAAACCATGCACCCTGGAACAAAATGTCAGGACCCAAAACCACTAAGTCAGCAATTATGCTGACAACTCTGATCATGCTGGGAATAGCCACTGCTTTGGTGAAATACCAACCTCCCATATGTTTCAGATTATAACCAAACTGGTCTTAATTGTTTGTGCTGCGTCTGTGCCATTGAAATTTTCAGCTTTTGTGACTTTGAGTGCCGCTTTGTCTGTTCAGCACTGGCAGGGGGGTCAGTGTTGGGTGCCCGTGTGAATTTCTCTGGTTGAGCAGCCACCTCCTAATGGCTGTTGAGGAACTTACACTCAAAGCTAACAAGCTGCAGTTGGATGTTCTTGGTATCAAGTGTGAGAGACCATATGTTGACACAGAGATTGGGGTTTATCAGAGATTCCAGCAGAGCTTCTCTCCACATTACTCCGTGCATCAGGAATGTTGATGTGACTGCGGTGCACAAGGCTGCTACTCAACCCAGGATGTGAGAGGATGGTCACTGGAACAACATCCTGAGTGACAGCATGGAGGCTGGTCCTGCAGAAACACACTAGAGGCTGACAATTTTTTGGGAATCCTGTGGGACGGGAATCATTTTTACTATTAATCAATGGACTGGGATGGGACGGGAAAAAATGGAAGCGGGTGAGAGTGGAGATCATATTAATAGGCCAGTTTTTACATGGTAAATTACCTCTGTTTTCCTTATTTTGAACACAATGCTAGCTGTGTCATTGACTTTTTAAGTCTTCAAAACTGTCCTGTCTGCTACTGGCTGGTGACTGGTTGGTTGTAGGTAGCCAGTACCAACTGACCAGTGCAATCCATGATGTAGGCTTTGATTTTGCATGCCACAGTCATAAAAAAAAACAAACATTATATTATAATAATAACAAACATTATAATTGTATAATATGTAATGTTTGTTATTAATGTATAATTAAGGGATGTTAAGGGATGTTAGGATGTTATGTTATACTTGCATGCTGCTTTTGAATGTACTATGAATGCATAATGAATGCATTATGAAGGTGCAATTAATGTTCTATGAATGCATTATGAAGGTGCACTTAATATAAAGTGTTACCGAATGTTCTTGTGAGAGTGGGATTGGATAGGAGTGAAAATCTACTCCCATGTTGCCTTCTAATGCCCACCTTTTATGATGCTGATGGGGCTCAGAGATGTGAGATTCCTTCCTGATGAGGGACAGAGCCCCTCCCCTAGCTCATGTAAGTACTCCTTGGGGAACTTCTAGTGACTGGTGTTGCGACCCAACCACCAGTCCCATATTGCCTGGGTCAGCACTGTGTGGCCCTCTTCACGGCTGGATCTAGAAGTGGGCAGAAGTAGACAAAGTCCACCCAAATTTGTACTCTGCCCACCCAAATGGTCCAGCTTTAGCCTGCGCCATCTGAATCTGCCAATCACGTTCCTTTTATTCATCCCTTTAGATATTCTTCGGCATAGCGTTTGTATTCGCCTGTGAAAGTGGAGAAAGAATGTTATCCTATTCTTATGAAAGCTCATTCTTCTTAAAATGTATTTTTAGTTGCTATTGTTTGCTGTAATGATGTGTTGAATAAGGATCTTTGCGAGTATAAATTGTATATATGTATTACGGTTGGCTAGGAATCTCCCTAGAACA